AGAGGATGTTCACCCGGCGGGATGAGGTATGCCGCCAGGTCCCCTCCTACATAGTTACATAGTTACATAGTATTTGAGGTTGAATAAAGACATTAGTCCATCAAGTCCAACCTATTAGGATCTCATTCTAGGAGTACCCGCACCCCTGTCTATTACGGTCCCTTAAGAACTCCTGAAACTGTCGGGCTCTTGGTCCATGAATGAGTGCCCAACTTTTTAGAGGGGGTGACACCAAAATGACTGGCAGTCATTTTGGTGTCACCCCTCCAATGGTAGAGACAGAGACACCGACACTCCAAAATGATAAGTAAACGTCTATTTATTGACGTGCAGTGTAGCAAATAGCAACAAATGTTTCGGGGTCACAGAGGATCCCCTTCCTCAGGCAAAAGCTTTTGCCTGAGGAAGGGGATCCTCTGTGACCCCGAAACATTTGTTGCTATTTGCTACACTGCACGTCAATAAATAGACATTTGCTTATCATTTTGGAGTGCCGGTGTCTCTGTCTCTACCTGTGATCATAACGGATGCCACCCGTTGACCACTGTAGCACCCGCTTCTTGAAGGGATTTGGGGGTCAGGAGTGCGATGGGACCATGGACCCCTCCAATGGTGTCACTAAGGTGCGGGCTGCACCCCCCTTGTGACGCCACTGCACCAGCGGTCCTAGCAGCCAATGACTGAAGAGGAGGAGGGCCTGCACTGGACTATGGCTGGCAGTGGATGTACTGGCCTCGGAGGCCTGCACATCCACTATCAGTCAGCCATAACCAAGCGCAGGCCAGCAATCATGCCCTGGTCAGAACCACCACTCGGTCCATGTCTGGACCACAGGCCAGACAGAGTCAGCCAAAGGGTCAGATTGGTCACCTTAGAAGACTAAGGTGTCAAAAGAAGAGGTAATATGAAAGTTTTTGTATAAACTATAATTTTTAATTTCTGCATTAAAATTATTATATTATATTTTAACATTGTGGGGCTCCAAATTCATAAATATATGACAAATGGCAAATATTCACAAAAAGGTGATGAACAAAGCCTGTTTATTTAGAGCAATCAGAGCTAGTAAGTGAAGATCTCATTCACGCACAAAAACGTGCCACGCTAATAACACAAAACTAGTATTGTGTTATTAGATGGATACTCATCCATAACATTTTTAGAAAGTATTAAACACATACTGCACCTGTATATATCAGCTAGTCCTAATTCATTTAATGTTATGCTTTTTCCACTTGAACAAGCGATATCAGTTTAAATCTGTTCATTATATGCTGTTATAAATACTTTGTTTTTCTATATTATTAGCCTTGGTGCACATTAAATATGTAATGCAGGCCCTGCTTCCTACCGTGCAGTACTGCTAACTGGTTGTGCTTTGCAGCTCTTTATGACTATGAGTCATCCGACTGAAAACAATGCACTCCCTGTGTGGCTGATATCTTATCTCAGCAGCAGAAAAAATGAGAAAGAATGGTTATTTTAATGATCCATTGGGAGCTTCCTGAGTGGTTAATCAGCAAAGATCCATCTCTGAAGGATAACTGTGCTTTTGTAAAATTATCCTTTAAATTGATATTATGTCAAAATGTTTTTAAGTTATTTCAAATGCTGATTAAATCGTTAACAATAAATGCTGCTCCTTGATGTTTAAAAGTTTTAGTTTTACTGCAGAATCAGCTGGTCCCCCAAACAGGCCCTGATATCCTGTATTAGGGTGGCTCCTTTCTCTTGCAATGTCCTATGGAGTCATCCTTGTGTATGCTAGGAAGCTGTGTGTCTGCACAAACAGGAGCTTCTTGAATGTGAATGGGCGTTTTTAGACGTCCTCGCTTGTCCCACTCGTGCGCGCCGCTGGGTGGTGCGCACAAACAGGAAAACTGCTTAAATTTTAAACAGCCAGCGATGGCTGTTTACATACATAAGTGGTCAGGCGGCTGTAGAGTCACTGGATCGCTTGTATTAGGCATGTGGGTGTGCTGGCCCCCCTCCGCTGCCTCTGATCCCGAGCTCCGCTGTGCTGGTGCAGGCCCGGGACACGCACAACGGCTCTGCCACTGGAGATCAGAGGGAAATCATCAACCGCATCTCCATTTGATGTCTCCTCTGTTCTCTGAATGCAGGAGTGATATATATTACATCACTTCTGCATTCAGCTGTCATTCTCCGGCTTCTGTATCTGGAGAGAAGCTGGTGAAGCAGATCTCTGCTTTATCAGCGTCTTTGTGGGTCCCTAGGTGACATTAGGGGTCCTAGAGGCCCCTGATGTCTCCACAAAGAGGACGTTTGTGTAAATTGGCTATGTCTTAGGGGGTTTTTTAGCTCCCTATGTGATAGCAATAAAGTGAAGTGAAAAAAAAGTTTACAAAAAAACAAAAAACAAAGTCACATATAAAAATATAAAATAAAAAAAACAACACAAAAGTCCCCCTGCCCCCACATACACACACAAACATATGTCGGGTGCGCCTACGTGTGAAAATGACGATTGTGCCTATTGCGCCACACATGCTACATAACACTGCAAACGTCAGAGTGAGGGCATTAATTTAGGCCCATCAATCACTGATAACAATAAACAAAATAAACAGTTGAGGGATAAAAGCTTTTAAAGTTTCGCCTGTGGCCAATTTTGGGTATGGTATTTTGTTGCGATTTTGCAGGCGGACGCAATTTTAAAGGGTGACATGTTTGCTGTCTATTTACCCAACATTACCCCGTCTTTTATATTTTACCAAAAATATGGGTAAGAATAAATGTTTTTTAACATAATGTAGGGAAAACAGTTTTTTTACCCAAAATGTTCTGGTTTTTTTTCATTATATAGTAAAAAATAGAAACCACAGTGATGATTAAATACCACCAAAAGAAAGCTCTATCTGTCCCCCCTAAAAATGGTATAAAATTCAGTTCAGTACAGCATTGTATGAGTGAATAAATGTCAGTTAAAGTACCGCAGCGCTGAATAGTGACACATGGCCTGGACAGGAAGGGTGTTCAACACCCCGGGCTTCAAGTGGTTAAGGTCAGTTTAGTGTTATTAACACCTTGCTGTTGATAACTTTTATAAAAATGAGCTTTGCCCTGTGTCCTGAAGAAATGTCCAACAAATAGAAAATAGACCTTACATGGCTCTGGCTTGTCTGCACAGAAACCCAGCTGACCTCCTTCTTTGCTACAAATGACATATAGCAATAGAAGACCCCTCACCACAAACGGAAACCACATTATGCTGCATAACAACATTGCTAACAACTGGAACTATGTGTCAAAGATAAACGGCTGCTTTTTCTTCTTTTGCAACTGAGACACAGTAAAGATCAAAGTCCGGCCCTCCAATTGTAGTGAACCTACAAATCACATCATGCACCTGTCTCTCAAAGCCATGCCATGGCTGTGAGAATCTTGCAATGCCATATGGGATTTGTAGTTCCACAACAGCTGGAGGGCCAGAGTTTTCCCTCCCCTGCTATAGACAGAAGAGGTACAGTACAGGTGGCAGAGGTGAGAAGTGCTGGGGTGAAAAAGCACACCTAATATTCTGCAATAAGAACCAGCTTTTATTGACATTTGTTGAGCATGTCATACAGCAAATTGCAACATTTTGGAACCAGCAGGGTCCCTACATCAGGCAAAGAGACCTTTTAAAAAAACCAGAAGATTAAGGTGTATGGGCAAAATATTTTTCATCTGGTTGCTGTGGTGAAATCCACCAGTTGCTACACCAGGGTATACACTGAGTGGCCAGATTATTATGACCACCCCATCAGTACTTTGTTGGGTCACGAGATGACTCCACGAGATGACTTTGTTGGGCCGCCTCGTGACTCCAATAGATGAAATACCAATATAGTGTGCAATGGAGACATTTCTATGAGCAGTGCTGGGGGACACAGGAAGGGTCATACTTGGGAACTTTGCGGCTTCTACTTATTTTACTGACTCTCTGGGTGCTGGGCTTAGTTCTCTGGCTTTCTGTTGATTGAAAGGAGTGACTGCAGCATGACTCCTATCAGGCAGAATAGAGAACAGGATAGTTGCTGGAGGGATGATTTTGCTCTCTCCTCCCTTCAGTGCAGCCTATTGTGAGTGGAAGAGAGCAGGAAGACTTGGCGCCTGCTAAAAACAGGCCTTCTTCTCAGTGCGGGTGCCCACTGGGGAGTGTGGGCAGACTGCCCTCCTTTGTGTCTCCCCTTGTCTTGTGATATATGACATGACCAGAGAAGGGAGGAAGGAGAAACTGCCTTCATTTCCAGGTGGGTCCCATGTTGGGGAAGAGGTCTGGGAGAACTGTGAGTACCTGGAAACTTTTGAATATCACTGGACCTGAGAATGGAAGTGGGGCAGAAAGTGGAGTAGAGGAAGGGTTTAATAACCAAAACATATTTAATGGTTACAGCATGTGCCAAAATAGCAGGGGGAGCTGGGAGCCTGGGGTGGGTAGCTCCTTGAGGAGCTGCAGCAGCATGGGAGAGAGTGAGAGGTGAAGCAGGCCTGGTTGACAGCAAACTTCTGTCCTTTTTTGAATGGATCCCATCCTCCCTAAATTAGCATAATTCCGCTGCTGGTGGCAGACACGTCTGCACCATAGAAAGGCATGACAATTTGTCAAAATTTCGAGGCACACCTGTTGAAGCCAGAGGGCACCCTAGGCACCTGGTTGAGAAAGTCTGACCTAGATATCAGTCAATAAAAAATTACAATAGCAGAGAAAGGCTAGAATGTTCTACAGTATTAACCAGCTAGGCTGGTCTTCGCTGTTGTACATGCTTTATCCCTTTAAATATACAATCTGTGTAACTTACATACAATTGAATCTATGTAAATTACATGACACTAATGTCATAACCAGTACAAACAAGTGTTAAGTAAATAAAATAAGCGAGAAACTGTGAACTCACCACCAGATTCGATATTTATCAGCATGCTAGCCATTTGTATGCAAATAACCTGCAATGTTAAAAAAAACAAAGATATACAGACACAATTTATATACCTACCAGTGTTGGTCGCATCTTGAGCTCTTGCTCCTAACATTAACAGGATGACCAAACCCAGCAGAGCTGACATGTTGTCGTGTTCATAGAGATGAAGATGGAGAGAATTCAGCAGTGATCGAATCTGATAAATGTTTCACAGGAAGGAGAGCTGACTGCGAGTGGGAACTTACTGGTTACTGAAATGGTTTTTTTTTTCTGTACTCTTCCTGTTGCTGGTACTGCATTACTAACAAAGACCACTATTGCACACCGTCACAGAACGTACATTACTCACCACTACACATACAGTAAGAATATGCACAAAATGTTTTTGTAAATCATCACTGAAAATGTTTAAAGTAGACCGTTCAGTAAGTTTACAAGTCTGGATGAATACATTCTGTTTCTTACATGTCACAAGCAACAGCAATAGTATGATCTTTCAAAAAAGCTCATCACTTAAAAGCAGTCCTTGTGCCCGTGACCAGACACATAAGATTTACCTTGAGTCATCTAATATATTTGCTGGTGCTGTAACATGGATGTAAGTTCTGCCCTACATATTTGGTGGACTTACCCACGTATCATTCCTTTTTGCACTTTTGCATCACTGGATTCCAAGAATTACTGCCTCAGCACATTATTTTGAAGCCCATCAGTACTTATTGTCTGACTCTACAGAATCTGTTGTCCGCATACAAAAACGCTCTAGGCATACATTTGATTAACGTGGCTTAAATGCTAATTCCACTCCACTGGAATTCTAATGCGCCCCTACTGTCTCTGAGTGGAAGATCTGAGTTTAAGCTATTTCATGTTTCAAAAATGGAAGAGGCTAGGACTAGTTCACTTGATAAGTCAGATCACTATAGAAAGTTATGGTCCTGAGATCCCAATCCATATGTCTATAACTTGGATTCAGTTGTTCCCAGAGTTGCCATCAGGGTTCCAACGTTTGCACCTTAGTGGATTGTGCAACCTTCTTCTTTGTATCTCCCCCCTTCTTTACCTTCCCCTTATAACACTCTGCCCCCCCCCCTTTTTTTGCTGTTGTCCTGGAGAACTACCTGTTTACCCAGTTCTTTATTTTTCATTCAACCACTATATACCTCTCTACTATGATGTTTCCAGACCTTACCCTATCTAACTGTTCCTTCTAATTTCGTTTTTTCTTACTTTCTCCTCTTAGCTGAATAGATGTTATTTTTATTTGGAATTATCGTAAAAGCCACTTTCCCTTTATATGTTGCTTACTCTCTTGTTTTCCATAATCATGATGTTTCCATTCTTTGTTTTATACAGAGATATCTATATACAGTATATAGATAGATCTATATATAGATAGATCTATCTATCTATCTATATAGATAGATAGATCTATCTATATATACATAAATATATTATTAAAAAACAGCAAACCTGGAACCTTGCTTCTACGATCACTTACCATTTGGCCTTGTCGTTTGCCAGGTCAGTGTTTTGCCTTAAATCACAGATGCCTGTCATTTTCTGGATGTGATCCATCCACCATGTTCTTCTTTCTCTTTGCCTTGCTCTTATCCACAATCTTGCATGGCTCCTCTTTATTGCAAGGCCAATGAATGTGCATTTTTTCTTCAATATTCCTTCCAACAGATGTGGTTTTACTTCACTGACTCTTTGAACCATTTCCTCATTCTTGACTTGTCCATCCAGCTGGTTTTCAAGATCCTCCTGTAGCACCTCAGTTAAAAACTTGTGATATTTTTTAGAAAACAGGGAAAACGTTTATGTGCCATACCTGAGAACAGTCCATACTTGTGTTTGTTGCAGTCCGTTCTTAAATGGAGACTGTTACTCATCAGTTATCTGTGGCTTCGGAAACTTTTTTTGGACTTGGGCATTTCTAGCTCTGATGTCAACATCGTTCTTCAGGTTTTCACTGGTCCATGTTCCAAGGTATTGGAAGTTGCTTACCTGTTCTATGGTTTTATTTTCAAGCATTTGTTTTGTGTGCCCTTTGTTGGTTATAGCAATGCATTTTGTCTTTTGAGTGTTTATTTGGATGGAGACTTCCTTGCCCTTTTCTGCGTTTTCATTAAGTAACATTTTAGTCTTCCTCAGATTCTGTGAGCAAAATTGTATTGCCTGCATAGCTTATTTTCCGTATGATATTGGCTTTGTATGCTGGAATTTCAACACCTTCACTAATACCTTGAAAAGCTTTGTTTGTATAGGTGTTGTACAGCAGGGGAAACCAGACACATGAAAAAATGTATATATATACACATTCTATATTCTATTTTTCTTCCTACCCAATTAAAATTGGAGACTCTGCTTTGCCCAAACGCATGCTTTATGTAGCTTAGCACTCAGACACATAGCCTGTCTACATGAACCTTTACAATGAGCCAGGTCTGAGAGATGCTGCCAGATCATTTGCTACTGAAAACTCGTCTTAACGCCATGACTGGTTATAATGTTTTCACTGCTCAGCTAACATTATTTAACCTTCATCAACTGCATGCTTGGCCTTCTACTTGTTCTAAAGTCATTTATTTTATTTGCTGACCTTCTCATTATGACTTTAAGAAATGAAGGGTTTCTCTTTTAACATGTAAGGTGCATAGGATTTGTCAAAGACCCTTCCCTATTTTTATCCTCTTGTCAAATGAATACTGTCATAAAGTGTAATTTCCAATTTAGGACTGTAATAAAGACACATCATAGGTCAGCTGAAGCCTCTGCAAGATCTAATGACCCATATATTGAATTGTTAATGAAATGCCTGCTGGGCTCTAATGTCAACAGCAGTAATTGAGTTATCAAATGAATACTTAACTAGCGAGAACAGTGTGCATGCAAAAACCTCCAACTGCTTTGTGCCTGCGATACATATTTAAAGTCATATTTGATCTGCTAAAGAGACAAAGATTATTTGCTAGAAACTGCAGAATAGTGCTTCTGTATTTAAAGCTGAACTGAGCACGTGGTATTAAAGATGAACTCAAAATGGCTAAATACACATTATACTGTATATACACTACCACTCAAAAGTTTTAAAACACCCTAATTTTTCCAGTTTTTATTGAAATTTACACAGTTTATTGTCTCAATGTACTCTGAAAATAAAGCATAGAACAAGTAAACAATTGGACATCCAAAATAAATCATGGAATCTTTTTCTTTTAACAAATTGTAATCTAAATTTTTGATTCATCAAAGTAGTCACCTTTTGCAGATATAACAGCCGAACACACTAGTGGTATTCTTTCTACAACGGAAATCAAATATTGTTTGGAAAGTTCTTCAGAACACTGTTGCATAAGTTCCCACAAATGTTGGACTTGTAGATTGCTTTGCTTTCACCATTCTGTCCAGTTCATCCTAAACCAACTCGATGGGGTTTAAGTCTGGAGACTGTGCTGGCCATTCCATGACGTGAAACCTACCGTCTTGTTCTTTTCTTCTAAGGCAGTTCTGACACAGCCTGGTGGTATGTTTGTGGGTCATTATCTTGCTGTACAATGAACCCCTGACAAACTAGGCGTACACCAGAGGGTATTGCATGGTGCTGCAAAATGCTTTGGTAGTAGTTTTGGTTCAGGGTGCTACTCACTCTGTGCAAGCTGCCGACTCTGGATCCAGCAAAACAGCCACACACCATCATGCTTCCTCCTCCATGTGCCTCTTTTTCTTATTTTGCTATCTTAGCAATGGCTTTCTTACTGCCACCCGACCTGTCAAACCTGCAGCCCGAAGTCTTCTCTTCACAGTTGAAAGGGACACTTGCTTACTTTGATCAGTGGTAAGCTGTGCTAGAATCTGTTGTCCTGTAAGCCATCTGTCACTCAAGTTGACGCTCAGAAACTTGTCTTCTGATTTGCTTGTGGCTCTTGGTCTGGCAGACCTCTTCCTGTCAGAGTTTCCTCCAGTTTTCAAGTGCCCTTTGATGGTGTAGGAAACAGTACTCACTGACACCTTGGCTTTCTTTGCAATTTCTCTAAAAAAAGATCCTACACTTTTAAGAGTTATAGGGGTCTGTTTGTCTTTTTGTCATAATTTTAAGAGCAATATACTACTTCCTGCAGTACAATACTGTCTAAATATTGCTTAAGAAGGCGTAATAACACTGCTTTTACACAGACAGAGAGCTTACGAGTAATCAACAAAAGTTGGGACATCTGTAGGAATTGTTAGCATAAACTTTCAAGGCTTAATTTACTTACATTGCTACTATGCAAATTTCACCTGGTTCATCAAGAACTGGGCAGAATTTGTATAGTGTATGGCCAGCCTTACCATGTCATCACAGTCAGAGTGATCATTGAGGGAGAGCAGACAGTGGAAATGCTTCCTTCTGCTTTCAGCAGACAGATGAGATCATCTCAGCCTACAGTCACTCAGGGATGCTTTATAAAGTGTATGCCCTGGAAAAATAATACTGTATTATGATGTTATATTCTCCTTATAAGCAAGTAAAAATGAATTCACTATTTCTCAAGATCTCAGTGCTTCATCTAAACACAACAGACAGGAAGTTCAGGGAAGCTGAGGTGAGAGTGTGTAGCCAGCAGTTTGTAAACATGATGATTGTAACAGGGGCGGATCCAGAGTCTAGTCTCGGGAGGGGCACTGCCATTGCCACTATGCCCATCTCTCTCCAGAGTGCGGAGGTCAGTAAAGTGGCGCGGAGGTCAGTAAAGTGATGCAGAGCGTGGAGGTCAGTATAGTGATACAGTGCACAGAGGTCAGTAATGGGACGCAGTGCGCTGAGGTCAGTAATGGGACGCAGTGCGCTGAGGTCAGTAATGGGACGCAGTGCGCGGGGGTCAGTAATGGGACGCAGTGCACGGAGGTCAGTAAGGTGACGCAGTGCGGAGGTCAGTAAGGTGACGCAGTGCGGAAGTCAGTAAGGTGACGCAGTGCGGAAGTCAGTAAGGTGACGCAGTGCGGAAGTCAGTAAGGTGACGCAGTGCGGAAGTCAGTAAGGTGACGCAGTGCGGAAGTCAGTAAGGTGACGCAGTGCGGAAGTCAGTAAGGTGACGCAGTGCGGAAGTCAGTAAGGTGACGCAGTGCGGAAGTCAGTACGGTGACGCAGTTCGGAGCTCA